ATTGAATGTTTGGATCGAAAAATACGAAAGTCTTGTCTTTATTAATTGCATCGCTTTCCTGCCAGAAGGACCAACATTAGTATTAACAGTCAAACTCACTTTAAATTAAGCTGAGCTAAAAGCCTCTCAAAGAAACTGTTTACGCAAAACTCGAAGGTGCAATTGCATCCTACCCGCCAAAACACTTGAGAGTCTAGTTTTTTAGAGGGGAGATGGGGTGAACTCATCCAACAGGTTCTCAGATCATCCACTGATATTTTTTTGTCAAGAAAGACTTAATCGGAACAGGTGGAAATAGTCTAGAGATCCTATTGAAATCGAAATACAAATAATCACAAAATAACCTCGCCATCTTTGAGGACCAATGAAAGAGTGGCAACTGATTAAATATTTGTGAAAGTTTCGATTTATTAGTTTTAAAAATAAATTCTTTAAATCTCTAAAATTGCTATTTTTATAAATTTATGATGATTTCAAACCCTGGCCTACTGGTTTATTTTGGCGTCAATAGAACTGATAACTGTGTGTTCCATTAAGCAACATTATTTCACATTTACTTAGACCATTACGTGTTTTATCTCCCTATTCACAGTATGGAATTAAACAGCTTTAATGGAGCCAAATCCTACTGTAAATATGGTTGATGGTATTCGGTTTGATACTGAGAAAAGTCAGTTGCTCTTTGATGGTTCGAAATTGGACCCAGCTGTTCCTCATAATTGGGCTTTAAATAAATGATCGTGACTGATGAAACGGCTGATCTTATCTAAACTTGTTTTAAAAAATATACGCAGATCATCTCACACCATTCCATCAAGGACAGGCCATTATGCATGATCCATGACGTCACATTAGTGGATAGATTCACTGCCATAACCCATATGTTTTAAGTAAATAAGCTGGTTGTTTGTCAGATTTAATGGTAAGACTTAAGTACTACCACGAATACTAGAAAAATACCAGTATGGATCATAAATAAACATAAACAAATGACGTTTTTGCCCCGAAAGTGAACAAAACCATTATACTAATAGCATTAATTAACATATGTTTTTGTTTACTTTTGGGCCAAAAACGTCATTTGTTTATGTTTATGACCCATGCCGGGTCTTTTCTAGTATTCGTGAGTACGACTATCCACCACTGCCGTAGTGTTGTGCTGCGCGCGCTGCAGCATGGCCTGTTTTTCTAGTGGGACCTCCCTTCCATACCCATCCTCTCATATTGGAATTAAAATACGCAGCTAGGTGGCGTCCCCTTCTCAAATAAAATTGATTATGATTGCAATTTGCATATTTACAACTGTAGTAATCACACATATCTTTTTTTATACTTTTATTAAGTAGGCCTACGTTGTCAATTTTGGTATTTAATACTGTACAATGATGCCAAAGCGAAAAATAACTGTACTTAGTAAACATTACCATCTGCAAAAAAATGCATTTTTAAGTTAACTAGCTTTGTAAAACGAGTCAATATTCAATTAATGTGAATAGCCTAAACATTAGCTGGATTCCGAATACATAATCAAACAGGCCAACTACATGATCCATTGTTCACAGTTTCAATAAATGTTTACAAAAATACTATTCCTGGAAAAAGTAGTTGATAAAATACATTAATCAAAGTTGCTTTAATGCAACCTATTAATCAATTAAACATTGCGCTCAATAATTAATCGAGCATCACTAAAATTGCCAACAAAACACAAGCTAATCAATTAGTTTAATGTCCTTCACATTCCTATGCAGTTATCTTGCAAATTCGGAGAGTAGAATTACATTAATCCGCTAAAAAGTCCTGCCATTATAATATCCCCTTGATTAAACAAGAATGCCGCCGCCTCTTTCCCGCCGAACCAATTACATGTTCTTCTTCTTAATCAGATCAGTTAAAGTTTGATGTTTCGCGACTTAATACGTAATTAGCGAAAATGCATAATTAAGTGGCGTCATTTGCATTGATAATTTCTATCTCAACGTCTGTCTTTTATCGAATGATCGAGCATGTGGATAGCGGAAAATGACACATTTGATGCGAGTTGATGATGGATAGTGTAATAAATTTAAAATGCTCTACTCATTTATTTTTGTCATCTTTTAGGATCAGTCGAGACAGTTCATATGTACGTTTTCTTTTCAATATTTGTAGAGGGTGTTTTACTACATATTGATTTATTTATTCTTTTTCGCAATTTTTCAATAAAATGCAACAATACCCGTAAACTATTATTCTCTTATTGTAGCCAAAGAGTACAGAATATGTTTCAAAATGTACCTTTTAATAAGAGAGGGACATGTAATTTCTGAAACGCACTCTAGACTTACTGGATGTTAAACAGATAAAAACATGTTTAAAATTTAGATTTTACAAAATGTCGAGGAGTCCATCAGCTTAATTCAAAGTCAATTATCAATACCTGTCTCGCGGTGGATTGCTGGATGCTTGACATATCAGAACCACTTTCACTTTGGTCATAAATAGATGAAGATTGAGACTTGAGACGTACTTAGTTTGCAATCAGTGTGCACATTTCGCCTCTTACATTGTGTCGACACGCATGTCATGCAAATATAGGTTTTTTGCAACTGAATTTCAGTTATATTTTGATGGTCATCTCCAATGTATTCAGTGTTTTACTGGAGTACAAGATATATTTGCAAATTCACTAGTTTGACATTTTTTAGAAATCAAATCAAATCTCAACTTTATCGTTACAGTATAAGCTGCTCTAGCCAGCTTTTTCATGCTAAGTTTGTTCCTTTAACTGTTAGGTTGTTAAATCACTTTCTCTAACAAAACCAATAATAATTATTGTAAAAACTAACTATGATAATATATGTATAAAATACCCCCGCCGCAGCAAACCTGCAGACTAAGCGAATTTCCATTTGCCTGATTGCATTTACACTAAAATGCCTCCTTAAAAATGTATTCCTTATTTAAATAGAATTATTTCAACAAGTAATTAGGTTTGCTGCAACAGGGAGGGTAAAAAAGTGTTTTTTGTTGTAAAATGTTAATAGTTTAGTAAGAAATTAATGTATTTTCCAAATTTGACCAAAACATGTTCATAAAAAAGCAAACTACAACAGTTGACTTATTCTCCATAAGAATATTATGGGAATTTTAAATTTACAATTTTTTTGAATTTTCTCCGTAACTATTAGGCACACAATAACGCTTTAATATACTAAATTATTTGTTTTTTAAGCTCTACAAAATGGTATGGAAAGAAATTTTGAAATTTTGGGTTTTTAGGGTCAAAGATTGGAAAAACCTATTTTTACCCCATAAAATTCCCTATAAACCCCTGTTCCCATAGCCCGATAATGCTGGTTCGCGAACTCGTTTGAATAAATGTTGGTTTACACGTTTATACCAAATTTCATCAAAATCTGATCATGTTTGCTTGAGTTATCGCGCTAACGGACACACACACACACATATATATATATATATGAATTTGAACGGATGGTGTTTTTGGCCTCTAGGGACTTCAAAACGAAAAAGTAAATCGGTCCAGATCTTACCATGAGTACTACGGTAATAGCTTGAAAATATAATGAAAGCAGTTAGTCTACGAGAACTAATACATCAAATATAACAACCTATGTCTCCTGTTCCAGAGATGGTAGGTTATCTGGACTGTATGGAGGAGGCCCTCAGGTACCTGGTGGAGCAAGAGAGATACCCAGACACTCACCCTGCTGTCCAGGGACTACGGAGACATCTGGCCGAGTACCAGCAGTGGCTCATGTCCAGGGTACTGGACAAACAGACTCCAGAAACTGCAGCGAGACACTCGAGCTAATAATCAGCCAGAAACTCCAGTTTGAGTTACAACAGAAGCTCCAGCTACAAGCTTCAATCAGAAACCCTTGCTTGGAACTCCAGGAAGATACACCATCTACAAACTCCTTCCAGGTAAAAACTTCAGCTGAGAGCTTCAACTAGTAACTCCTTTAGGAAACCTCAACTATAAAATAGTCCAGCTAAAAACATCTTCTATATTAAACTCTATTTTGAACGTCCAGCCAGTGAAGTAAAACATCGAAACCACCACGAAATATTGAAAAACATACTTGAAACATGTATATAAAATTAAAAGCTCTTGTATTAATATAGACATCACTATACATAAAGTTACAGAATATTTTAACTAAACCCATGCTCCAATATACCTTATACTTCGTTATAATTATTTAAATTAAACATAACCAAATCCAATTCACTGACATACATTGTTTTACAACTCGTTTTCAAATCAATTTAAATCACATAGCTGTGACATAAAGTTTCAGTGACATCTCCAAAGACTTTCAAGGTACTTAAGTAAACTGAAACTATTTAGATACGAATGTTATTCGTGTAGAAATGCCGCAAGGTATATTGTTCTAGTCCAACAATTGTGTTAGTGTTGTAGGTATTTAGTTATCGTTAGTTAAGGTTCTTACATATAGTATAAAACAGCTTTAGGCAAAATTATAGGTTAATTTACATCATAATTGTTTGCGCCCCCCTAACGTACAATAATTTCTGTATTGATTTTTTATTTTAGAATTTACGAATTTGGAATGCATTCATACTGCAAGCTTAAAGTAACGTATAAGGTCCTAAAGTAAAAATGTCAATGAGAAACTTGCTTATAAACCTTTCATTTAAATGTTGTGAAAATATAATTTATTTATAACACCAACACAGTATTTTGTAAAATTACTTGGTATTACTGTACGGATAGGCTGGTTGTAAATAGTAGTAAAATAATTTGTTTATACGTGCCTTAGCTTTAAAAAGTAGAATAAGGCGATTTGTTGTTAAGATTTGTTTTGTATGTTTATGTTTATCGTATTTTTATTAAATCAATTTTAATAAACAGTTAATTTTTATTAACCTTCGTTTATCACGATTTAAAATAAATGATTGTCACAGTTTGAGACAGGTGAATTTCTCATAGTTAATTATCTTTTAGCAAAGTTGTAAATCTGTGTCATGCGGTTATGCTACATATGGTAAACTATGTCCCCATATTGTACTTAATTTAGGCATAGAACAAATATTTGAATTTTCATTTGAACTATTTCAACCATGGCTGAAATAACTCAAACCTTAAATATAACTGAAATAACAAAAAGTGGTATTTTCTTGTTATAACATTTTTTGAATGTTATTTTTATAGTTTGTTTTTTATATGTATTTTTTATATGTTATACATGTTTTTATATGTTGCATTGCCTATTGCTGAGGTCCATAAAGTGCTCGAAAATATAGTAACTAATGTTTATAAGTACTGTATTTAATTTTTAAATTTAATTATCAGGGTTATTATCATAATTTAACATTTCTCCTTTTATAATTTAAAAGTAATTTTAAAATATTACATTCCACGTTCAAAGTAGGGCTGTTTACGCCTCTTTCACACGACGCGGCGCGCGCCGTGCGGCGCCCGCCGGATCCGGCGTAGGGCTATGGGAGTATATTACCGGAGTTACCGCCGGATGCACCTTGAGCCGGACGATAGCGCCGCGCGGCGTCCACGCCGCACAATTCGGTAAAGGTGCATTGGTTCTTATGGGAGCTTTCACACGGTGCGGCGCGCGCCGCACGGCCCAACCCCTACGCTGTCTCAATTTAGGCAAACTACCTGACCAAGAGGGTGCAACAGTTAATTAAGAAATTATATTTCGTTGTATCGGAAAATAATATATTTATTAACAAAATATATTAAGTTATTACAAAACATATATTTTTATGTTCATCCCATGCAAATCGGCCAACTTAAAGTATCAAAACAAAATTTTTCTTTTAATAACTAGAGGAGAATATTTAGTATTAAATTAATAATTTAGTAATTTATACGCAATGAAACATTTATATAATACGTGAAGGCGATTTCTACAAAATACTACTCCTCCGTTAATAATGGACGGATTTTTACAAACGATGTGTCAAAATTAAGTATTGTTTGTGTAGATGCCCCCTTTCACCAATTCCTGTAGTAAAAGTCCTCGGGCTCTGCCCCTCAGGCCATCAAAATCCCAATGTATATCTTATGAAGACAAGATTTTGTTTAGTTAAATTACTCTGAGGTTAAACAGACAAATAATTTGTATTAATTACAGCTGTTCATAGTACACACATGATACACACAAGAGTTTTCGTTTTCAGTTTCGATAGATGGAGTGGAGTGAGCGTTCGTTTTCAGAGTGAGTTCGTTTCCAGTTTCGATAACTGGAGTGGAGTGATTAGTTACATTATCTTTGACTTTACTCTCACACGTCAACGGAAATTGTGACAATTATTCGTAAAAAAACTCCTTTAATATTTTGCAACTGCTCAAATTCGAGCAACAGGTGCACTAGTTTATTAAATTTAAAATTAGCCCATTCATTTTATTTCAACTTTTAAGTGGAGTATTCATTTAAAAGCCACAACTGAACAGAAAATAATAAATATTTAAGAGTGCCGTACGGCGCGCGCCGCACGAAACCGTACTAGTGTGAAGACACACGCTTGTCCGGCGCAGCGCCGCGCGGCGGACGCCGTACGGCGCGCGCCGCTTCGTGTGAAAGAGGCGTTTACACACGTTGTAAACTTATTGTTTAAAAGGTAACGTTTAGTGTCAGCCGTCCCTTAAGATAACATGACAGACAGAAGACATCAGCTCATTAATTCGCACTTTATTGATTCAAATTTAAATGTATAAACAAAAATTTAAAGTACTGAAAATAAAACATACATAATTGAAAACTCAAACAATATGAATTGAAAATCTATACTGTGTCTGTACATTTAAAGCGGAGACAATATTTCCATAGTCCAGTAACCAAGCTTTCGTAAATACAAAAAATACCTTAAGCTGCTTCCAAACAAAACAGCTATTACAACCCTACTTGCGACGTTGCCACTACGAAGTCCGCGGCCTTGTAACAGTCATTATACATCGATGGTAACAACATGGTATTATTGTTAAGATCCCATCATTCTTATCTATTGCCAAAGGAATGCCGTAAGCGGGAGAACTGGAATCGTCCTATATACTTGTCGAATGTCGACGCTATTGCGGTGGCAGTGGCAGAATTCGTTAGAACATGTGTTTGTGTCTGGGCGAGTTTTTTCTGCTAGCATTATTCAGCTGTCTGGTGGGGGTACATTGACCTATTAATACTCTCCCCTCACAGCTGCAAGCTGCAACCCTACAACAGTCTCACCCACCCCTCTATCCCTACAGCCCGTGCCATATCGCTTACCAAGCTGTAGGCAGCAAACAGCAAGTAAAAGAGGTAAGCTTTTCACCTACATAACCTATTTTAAAACTGATTTTTGAACTTGATTTAAGTGTTTGGTAGTATTTTTATTTTGGCTTAATGCTTTCTCATACCCTATTTTAATTGATTGAAAAGGTTGATTTATTTTAATTTTCAATGGTTGTTTGATTTTGGAAATTATATTTGTATCGTATTGGCGGGAATTTAGGCTATATTTTGCTTAAGTTCTGCCCTGGTTTATTTCTTCCCGAACACTCACGGATGAGTAATAATTCTATTCAGTCTATGTAAACTTAGCAGTAGAGAGTAGTGTAGTATTTAGGTTATGTTATGTTTTTTTTACTCTCTTGTTAATTACAGATAGGCTATGTCTATTCCTGTGCGGAAGTGTCAAGTTTTTTTGCGTTTCGAATAATGCTAGTGTATTTAGAATTAAAAACCATTTAAAAACATGTAGCCCGCTGTAAATTTAGTAGTATAGAAGTAGAGAAATGATTCGTAATATTATAAATTTCTGTAAACCGCTTCAAATCTATTTTTAGGACTGATTTTTGTTTAATGTTTTGAAGTAAATGATTTTCTAGACTCAATCTTATCCCGACTGAAAAAAATTATTGTCAATATACAAAGACGCCAAACATGAATGATGTCCAAAGTCTTACGACACATGTACAGTGCAAATAATTTCATTTTAGACTTGGACATTGGTTACACCAGGGAATGTTTCTCATTTAGAAACAGAGTTTTTAGTCTACTGAGATTGTTTAGAAAAACAAATTTATTAATAAACAAGCAGGCATATTTAGAGGCAAGCAGGAGGTATACCTTAGTGTGTTAGAACAAAAAGATAGCATTTCAAAATAATATTATAGATTGTATTAATCACGCTAAGGATGGGAAAACATTGTGGACTGCCATAAACAAATTTTGAGTATCGGAAAAATACGCTTGCAAGGATTGAACCTGAACAGTGGGTGCAACATTTCCAAACTTTATTGAATCCTCCAATAATGTTGGGAACAATAAGTTATGCTACGCCTTTTGACAATCAATAATATCTGGTATAAATTCTTTGTCAGTAGCAGAATATCGTTGGAAAGAAAGTTTAGTTGCTTTAATGCGGTAGTTAAATCAATTTTGTGTTATGGCTGTCAGGGTTGAAACTCATTGTAAATATGACTGTTATTCGTTTTGAAATAATTTATGTAATACTTACTGAAGTGCTAACTTAAGGATACGAGCAATATGTACACTAGTTATCATTATTTCTTTAGATACTTTCATATGGAATGGCAACCATACGAAGTAGGTATTTTATGCCAAGGATGAATGGGGATGAGTGTAAGATGAGTGGCGCGATCTTGTATTCTTGTAAGTGACCACGAATACTAGAAAAAATACAGTGACTAAGGCCGACATATTCCTTAGATACAGCCGTTAAAGAATATCCCATACAACCAATGACAACTAAGGGGTTTATAGTGGAATCCGAACCCCATTTTTTCCTTGTAATGAACGAATTTGTCTAATTATCGTGATAGTACTGCGGATCGCCGTAGTACTCACTAGTGCAGACGTTAATGGTTAATCAACACCAGGGAGTATCGCACCCACAGTGCATGCCTATAAATATCCGGAATTCATGAAATCCAAGTTGCTGGATTACAGGACGACGCCACCGTCCCAGTCACATCTTATGTAGGTATGAACGGGATTGTACTTATCAACAATTTATTATCTTCTTTATTGAACACCCATTATAAAAAACCAGATGACCTGTTGCTCGAAATCGAGTAAAACTGCAACTTGTAATAAAAGAATAATCAACAAAAAGATAAACAGCAAAACCTCAATCAAAGAGTCACTCTAAAGTAATTTCTATGACTGATTATAAAAATATTATCTATACTATTACATCTATACTATTATATAAAAATCTAGTGGTGTATGTCTGTATGTTTGTTACTAATAGGCGCATAAACTACTGAACTGACTGGGCTTAAATTATACAAAAATATAGCTACCATACCAAGGACCTTTATAGGACTATTCACACTTCGATACTGACCGTGGGCTTCGCCCCTTTGACTTTAAAAGTTCTGAGGTGAGGATTTTAAAAGTAAATATTGATTGGTCTCCATGGCTGCCATGAGAACTCATACAATGTTTGCAATTTGCTATGCCACCCAAATGTAAACAAGCTGAACTGTAAAACCATATTAATTCACAATTCCACAGCTGGATTATAAATAGGCATATAATATTCTCTACAATCATGTGACATGTTTATTTATTCTTATATTTGATGGTTCATTGATTATTGATTTTATGAAATAAGTGAGACTGTATATCTGTTGCTGTATCCAACCCTAATTAATTATTTAAAATTTCGCTGATGTGAATAATTGTATTGAAAGATTTTGGTGTAAAAAATAGTGAAATTATAAAGTTCACATTTACTAGAATCATTTTAACATTTTTGAACAATTAACATGTGTTTAGAGTTGGCCACACACCTTAAAAATTGAAACTTTTTTCTTAAGGAGATAATTAATTGTATATTTTTGCCATTTTGAGAGAAATATTGTTCACACCATTGTTTGCCTTTTCACAATTTTTTAAATCATAATTTCATATTACTACCCATAGATTGGTGATTGGTTATGATGTTTCCTAATCCGGAGGTAGCTACTACCTGTACTACTATCTGTATTATAACTTTAGACACTTCCTTTAGATTTCACATTCTATTCTAATGAATAACTTTTTACGAGCGTTTCATAGTCATTACATGTATATTTATAACCAAGTTCCTCTTAACTTAACCTACCCTCAACATAAACAATATTTGAATGACGTTAAATTTCCTAATTCTAAGCTGATATACAAATATTTCAATTTAAAAACAACAATTAAAAAAACTAAGTTGTATATGTATTTGCCTTTAGTGCATAAATAGTAGGGGCTATAAATAGTATGTATATAAGTATATTTCTGTTTGTTTTATTAGTAAGAAAGTTAATGTTTTTGTTTGTTCACATAGTATACAGGGTGTCCGATCATAAGTGTTAAATAAAGATTTGCTTTAAACTACATGGTATAATGGTGACAGAATGCCAGCGAATAACAAATAAACTAAAATTGTTCAACGATTATTGTAGTTTACAACAATGAACTTCAAACAAAGAATTATTGTAGTTGTTATGAAAAAGGTTATATTACTCTGTCAAAAATGCACTTATTGTCAATTTAAATGTAATTTTCAGAATCCTCACAAAATTTTAAATAGATATAACAAATAATTGTTGGGGTACGGAAAAGTTTAAAATTTAAATTTCTTCGTTAACAAAATTATTTTTATATCGACGAAAATGTAAATAACATTCAGAGCTTTATTTCTCGGTTGCCGAGTTCCGGTGATGTTATCAAATATTACTAAAAACTTCCTTATTTAAAGGGCTTTACAATGATGTATAACAACATTAACCTACTGTCAAATCCATGGTGAATTTTACAAACTATTGTGATAAATCACGGTTAAGCCAAAACAGATATTGTAAAAAATAATGAATTTTACTCACTATTTTATGAGCTGACCGCTGATGACTAGGGTTTGTGTAGTTTATGATTGACCAGACTTCACTTTCATCAAACTAAGAGTTTTTTTTTAAGACTTTGGAAAATTGATTATAAAAAAAAACACAATAGGCCTACATTAGTAAAAAACACAATACACACTTTTAATACGAAAGGATAGTTAACACATTAAATAAATCAATGAAATACTTTGTCCGAAGCACAACTTTTATTAAGGTGGAATCACAGTTTGCCCTCCGTTTTCCGGCAAGCAGGCCCTGTGTTGCGAATTGTGCCAACTGTGACCTCATACGTCAATTTTTCCCTTACTTCTCTTGCAGCCTCAAAGATTCTCTCCCGTAACTCAACTTCAGAGTTTACAACAGTTAAGTAAACTAGACTTTTCATGTAACCCCAAACAAAAAAATCCAACGGGCTCAAGTCTGTGTTTGGAGAGCGTAAAGCATAAGGGGTTCAAACAAAATAAAATCCCGTTGAGTAGCATCATCGTGGTTAAAAACGTTCGTACTGTAGGAAAGTACAGGACAAAGTAAAATACAAAAATGATAACAATGATCTGCAGTAACCACGATATTTTGGAGAAGTGTAGATTATTAGATTGTTGTTGTGTATTAAGTACTCGAGGTCGAGGCCTACTGGCTAAAGACGGATAACAATCATCTTGAACTGCAGTTAGTAGCAAAGATATTTAAAAGGCCGGTGACAGCTGGGATCACAGCTGACAAGCAGATGGTTTTACCGAGTCAGCTGTTGTATGATGCTTCATAGCTATGGCTCGCCATCTACAACGTCAAAAAAGTATAATATAGGCTGATTATAACTGAGAAATAAAGTCTATGGCCATTTCATCTGTGTCTCAGATTATTGACTACAATGGTATGTAGTGTATAGTATCTCAAGGCTGTGACTTCAACCTGGAGCCTCGAATCCCACTATACTATCTCAGGAAGTGGTCTGTAAGAGTCTCTGTCCATTACTATATATAAAGTCTGAATGTGTTGTGAAGTAAACTGATTCCGGGCTGATTATGTGAGCGTGTCTGATAATGAGTTAATTTGTGATAATTGGTTAATTTACTGTTATCTCTGTCTGGGATGTGACCACCCAACGTCGAGATGAGGAAAAAAACTTAACTTAGACCTTTTTCTTAACTCAGTTTTAACATAGTTGCTTGTACCATAGAATGACGAATAGGCATAGGCCTCACCAGCGTCTCGCTCTATATTCCGGAGTGGGTTGCCGGAAGACTGCCCCCCAGAAAACTACTCCCCGAAGTAGGTTCCTACGTCATGTTGACGTCAGTGATCGGGGTTGACAGTTTTCAATTAACGGACACTCAAGTTTCGTTGTCATACTGCTCTAAACTAACCTAGCCTAACCAACCAATATTGCTGTAACATTTCAAAATTCTGTATAAT